GCATCGCTCACGCGGCCAACTTCATGACAACAACCAGGCCGTAGCAGTCAAAAAGGACCGGTCAGCGAGCGCTGGACGCGCGGTGTGTCTGTGAGTTCGTTCTCGCCGGATGCGCGGTGCGTGCAGACAGCAGTGTCTGCGAGTTCGTTCTCGCCAGGTGCACATCGTCTACATCTTCCGTCGGTGGGGGACCGAACAACCCCTCCCTGTGCAAGACGGGGACCGGGACTTCGGGCGTCCCGGTAGCATCCTTCTCGCGAAGGAGGCTGACCGCCCGGGCGTATACCGAGTATACGCCGAAGTCGGGAGAGCCGTCTTGCACATTTCCTGCCATCTTTCTCTCTCTCTCTCTCCTCTCTCCCTCCCCTCTCTCTGTCTGTCTCTGTCTCTGTCTCTGTCTCGGTCTCTGTCGGTCTCTGTCGGTCTCTGTCTGTCTCTATCTCTGTCTCTGTCTGTCTCTGTCTCTAACTTCTCTGTCTCTCTGTCTCTGTCTCGGTCTTCTCTGTAGCTGTCTTCGCTGTCTCTGTCTCTCTCTCTCTCTCTCTCTTTGTCTCTTTCTCTCTCTCTCTCTCTTTTTGAGACTGTGTGGGGCCTATGTGGCCCGTCTTGGGGCTATGTTTCCCATATCTGAGAGCTAGGGAGAGTCATCTTCGCTGTCTCTCTCTCTTTGTCTTTTTTTTGAGACTGTGTGGGACCTATGTTGCCACATCTTGAGGCAATCTTGGCTCATCTTGGGGCTATGTTTCCCATATCTGAGAGCTAGGTAGGGTCATCTTGCGGCTATGTGCGACTGTGTGGGGCCTATGTTGCCCCATCTTGGGGCTATGTGGGCCATATCTGAGACCTATGTTGAGTCCTCTTGAGGGCCTCTGTCAGATCATCTTGGAGCACATGTTCCGCCTTTGCTCTTAGCACGTGCCCGACACCCACGAAATGTCGATTAAGCCTGTCCGCGCGGCACGCATAACTGACACCACGGGCACCCTGTCGTGGACGCCGAAGGCCACGAAACACTGTAAAAAACGATGTTTTTGAACATTTTTCGAACATCCAGCGCAAGATACATAAAAATCTGTCGGGCGGATTTGGGCGGGGGTCGACACGGGGTCTCCCCGCGGTCCAACAAAAGGGTCGGCGGCAGGGGCGGCGAGCGTATATAACCTTCGGTTACCAACCGAAGGCCTCCGGCAAGGACACGGGCCCGTGGCCGGCGCCCGGATTGTAAGGGCTTCGCCCGGGCGCCGCCGACCCCTTTTCAAGAGGAGTGTAGCATGTGTAACTGAAGGCGTTAGTGTCGTTCCGGTGGTTGCCCGTCTGCGGAAAGAAGATGGGTGTTCTAGCCTTAGGCGTGGCCTCGGACAGGCTAACTGTGGCCTGTGCTAAAGCCCACAAAGGTGGAGATGCCAATGCCAAGGTTGTGCCCTGCGAGGCGCCGAGAAGCGTCTGAGGGGGGGCCGTCGCCTTCGGAAGCCTAGAAAAGAAGAGGCTGGCCTCGGCTGCTAGCAGCGTACGTGGCAGCCCAGCCATGCCCAGGCTGCGTGGCCTCGGACAGGCTAGCTGTGGCCTGTGCTTAATTCCTACAAAGGTGGAGATGCCAATGCCAATAAGGTTGCGCTCTGCGAGGCGCCGAGAAGCGTCTGAGGGGGGCCGTCGCCTGCGGAAGCCTAGAAAAGAAGAGGCTGGCCTCGGCTGCTAGCGCCGTACGTGGCAGCCCAGGCCATGCCTAGGCTGCGTGGTCTCGGACCTGTGCTAAAGCCCACAAAGGTGGAGAGGCCAATGCCAATAAGGTTGCACTCTGCGAGGCGCCGAGAAGCGTCTGAGGGGGGGCCGTCGCCTTCGGAAGCCTAGAAAAGAAGAGGCTGGCCTCGGCTGCAGAGGAAGGTCGTCCCTGCTCGCATTCGCAGACTCGAGTGCAAGCAATGCCAGCGCGAACGCGCCTCGAAAAAGCGAGTGTTGGATGGAAACATGAGGGGTGACGAGCAAAGGAAGCTGGAGCAAGCAAAGGCTGTGTTTGCGACGAATGCGGTGAAGTACCACGTCAACAAGCTGCGGGCGCTAGACTGGGCACGCCAGCACGGGCAAGCGGTCAAATATGCCATTGCAAAAGACACAATTTCCAGCCGGGCGTTGCAAGAAAAACCGGACTTGGGCAAAGACAAGGTGACGTGGCTGCAACGTCACGATCAGGACTGTGGCGGGCTGTACGGGGTTTTGCCCTTGTGCATCGGCATGCCGGTCACGGCAACCGATCACTTGGATCGCCGCAGAGGCATACTGAAGGGATGTCCGGGCACAGTTGTTGGATGGAGCTGGCATGAAGCAGCGGGAGGGAGTACGACACAGATTTGGAATCAGCTCCCGACCAAGTCAGAGTGGCGAGTGCAGGGGCTGGCCACGGACAACGTGTTTCCGGTGACGCTCCAACGGCAAGCGTGGCATCTGGACAAAGGCCGAAAGCGGCCCATGCTGCGGGTGGTGCGACGGCAATTTCCGTTGGCGCCCGGGTTTGCCACGACGGCGCATGCAGCGCAGGGCCAAACTTACGCAGAAGGGGCAGTCACGGACATGCAGATCGGCGAAGGCGGAGACCCGCTGACCGCATACATCGCTGTGACGCGAGTGAAAGATAGACACAGGTTACACATATACAGACCGTTCGATGCTGCACCCTATCAGAAAGGACGCAGCGTAGGGAGAGCTTTGCTGTTGCAGGCCTGGCGCGGAGAGAGCATTGACTGTGCAACGTTGCGCATGCGGCGCCGCGAGGAGGAAGTGTGTCGCGAGCGCCACGAAAGCAAACCCAGAAGCGGGTACAGCGCCGGGCAATGGAAACGGGACGCGGACGCACGTGTGTGCAGAGAATGCGTGCGTAACTACGCAGCCAACAACACGCCCTGGCAATGCAACAGTTGCAAGGCATGGAAGCACGAAGACGCCTTTGCAAGAATGTACGCGCGCCCCCAATGCACGTTCTACCGCGTGTGCCAGACGTGCGAGGCACAGAAGCGGTGCTACAAGTGCGGCACGGCCAAGCCGGAAAGTGCATTCGGGGCGGCCGCGTGGAAAGGGCGCCATGCAGACCGACGTGTCTGCAGGGACTGCGCCATGAAAGTCAAGGGTGCGTGGCGCTGCGCCGTGTGCGCGGAACGTAAGGCGCGCAATGACTTCAGCGCCTGGTCCAGGCAGCGCGCTGCACCGCAAGACGGAACGCAGCGTTGCAACGCTTGTGTCCTCAGCGCGGCCAAGCGCGCAGCAGCGCAGCGCGCAAACAACAGACGTGCGCGGCGCAGAGGACGGCCTGCCCGGGCGGATGCACGGGTCTACAGCTGCCACGGGCAGCGGTTGCCACGAAGTGTCGCGCATAGAGCCATACGGCGCCTGGCTGCGACGCGGACGAAAGTAGCCGAAGAAAAGAGACAGCAAGTCATAGGTCTTGTACGGGAAGAGATCGCTGACCGTGTGCGACAGAAGCAAGCCGAGGATGAGGTGCTCTTTCCCCGGGCGCAGGAGCCGAACCGGAGAGAAGAAAGGCAGATGGCCCAAAGCAAGACGGAAATTGAAGCAGAAAGTGTCTCAACAGACACCAAGCCGTCGCGCAAAAGACACATGGAACCACCGGCAGTGCTTGTAGCGAAGCGTGCAAAACACGTGTCGGTGAGCAGCCAAGTGCGCACAGACCACAAACTGCAAAGAGAACAGGAAAGTGAGAAAGGTCTAGCTCCAACCGAAACCCAAACGGGCACAAACGCCAAGGCCAGGACAGTGCCGGCGCCACAACGAAACAGTGTAACAGAGGGCGGGCCTACAACGCAAGACGATGAACGCGCAGACTCGCAGGCAAGACCGCAAGAAGATACGCAGGCCACTGCGAGAGCCGCAAAGAAGACAAACGCAGCGCCGGCAAAGTTGCTCGGACGGACAGCCGGGAAGGAAATGTTCCAATATGCGTGTCCTTTTTGTGAGGCGTCGGTGAGCAGCAGCGTGCGCACAGGCCAAATAGATCACCGCCGGGCGTGCGGGAAATTTTTTCGTGTCAAAGACGGAGACGTTGCCGCCAGGAAGTATGCCTACGTTTGTCCATTTTGCAAAGGGCCCGTAGCAAGCAAAGTGAGAACAGGGAAAATAGATCACCGCACCGTGTGCGGCAACCAGTTTTACGTCAAAGAAGGCGCTGTTAGCGCGCAGACACGCCAGCATCCGCAAAGGTGCCCCGCGTGCCACAGTGTGGTCTGGTCAACGCTGCTCTTTGGGCGCATTCAGGCCACACACAACACACCGTCAGGAAAACAATGCCCGACAAACAGCTGGCGAGTTCCGGAGAGCAAGCACGACGCGCCGAAATAGAGAGGCCGCGGCAGGCCTGCCAG